ATGGATTTTAAAATCAGCAACAAACCTTAATAAAATATTTCTCGAAAGTGCAGGCTGAAATAGCAGCGCTAACTTAATATGGATAATGACTTTAGTTTTATCCTTTATCCTATAACTAGTATTTTGCTCTTTCTTCCACAAGATTCCGACATTCTATTTAAAATAATAGAATTCTTGGAAGTATCATTGAAAATCTTAGTTCCTTTAGACCTTACTTGATGAATTCTTATCAAACCAATAATCCCATACTCATGGCGAACTGATGGCAAACCAATGGTACCCTGACTGAAGCATTTTTAATAGCTTTAGCTGAATTAATTTGAGAATCTGTTTCAATGGAAGTCGTAGTTGAAAAAAGCGACATGTCCACGAACTGTTTAGCATTGTGGTCCCTCTTGCTTAGAGCTGGAAAGGGAGCTTGTATCTGTAGGCTGGCTGATGTTCCATATGAAGCATAATGTTGCAGGGAATTTAGGCTCTGCAGTCTAGAATCTGGAATAAAAAGTTATGCAATAAAACAATTAATAACTACTACTGTAATTGTTCAATCTTTCTACAACTTTGTATTTCTGGTCATGTCAATTTCTTTGATTGGAAAATAAATAAAGTAGAATGATATAAAAACATTCTTTGAAGATATTGATACGAAATCAATTTAAGTTGAGAAAAAATAATAAATAATTTATTTTTAGGCTTTGGAAAAGAAAAATCTCATAACCATTTGTGTATGCTTTATACAATAGATACAATCTGAATTAGATCTCTAACAATACTATGAAAACTGTACTTACTATTTCGTTTTTTTCTCTTTCATATTGATTACTGTAGAGGCATGGCAATGATGACAGGCACAACACATACTAATACAATCAATTAAGTTTACTGGTAAACCCTTACCCTTACCTTTTCAACTTGAAGAGATGAATAAGACCTTAGGTATGAAAGTCCAGATGCCATGAGTTTTGCAGTTCATGTAGATGCTACACCTCTTTACTTTGCAACCTAAGATTGAAAACGGAGATAAACATATTTCATGAAGAGAGCAAATATATTTCTCAGAAAAATAGTTGTCCCTTTACCTAATCTAATGTGTTCAACTGAACAAAAGCATATTTTAGTCAGTGATTCTAATTGTAATTAAAAAAAATTTGGTCTAACACATTATGGTGGACTGTGTAATGTGGAAATTTCTAATACACTCTGGACTTATCTTGCTTTTGACTATGATCCCAAACATTACTTTAAAATCTTGATCTTGAACTAGAGCTTTTATTTGTAATATCAAACTAACAACAGTCAAATTGTAATCATGGATACTCTGATCTTGAACCAAACCCTATTGTACAGAGTTTGATTAAAACTACTCTCTGGGGAAAAGAAGGAAAAGAGATACAATGGTATATAACACAGATAGCAGCTTACATCATGCATATGCTCATTAGAGTTTGTTCAATCACATCTTTATACTTTCACTGTTGCCCTATTCTATGCACAATTGATCAAAATCTGGCTGATCAAGTATCTATGTTTTTGACCTGTCATGGTTGGCTTCCTATTAGATTAAGAACACAACATTTTCAGTTTGTTATTTAAAAAATCCAATATCCGGTATCTTAACCCTTTATCATAAATGAATATAAAAGACTATAAACTGAACAAAAAGTTAGTACTTAATTTCTATGTAGGTCTAGAACATGAAGAAGAAAAAGAACCTCACCCTTATTTCATGTCGGTGTTCAAACTTTGCTAAGATAATCACATCAAAAGGCCACTTCGTATGGTAGGATCTTGCAGTACACCTTGAATCAGATTACATTATGCAGATCCATATCCTTTCCTCGGGGCAGAGGTAGGATGAGAGACGTTGAAGACTATAGAGGTCTATTTCTTGGATATGACTCAAGAGTCCATGTCCACTCCATCTCTGACTCTGAAAGAAAAATGAAATGAAGAAAAACAAAATATAGAGCTTGATACATGAGCCTACTACATAACATTCTATATCTAGTCTAAAATCGAACTTGTTACTGTTAGATGTACACTAGATCTAACTCCTGTTTAATTTAGATCTCAAAACATACAAGTAGTCTAGCTGATCTAGGACTAACTCTAAATTCTGATGTATCTAAGTTAATCCTGCAAAAAGGTGCAGTGTAGAGACTAGGTCTAGACTACATCAACCCTAAGTCCCTAGATCTAGTATAATGATGCAGACCAAAGCTACATTAAGATCTTATTCTTAAACAGGATCTAACTTGGTCTTGGGTCTGAAACTGTGGAGACAATTGTTTTTCTTTCATAAAACGCTAACGTTGAAACAATGACCCCGTCGATTGTTAATGTTATTATCAACATGAAAAAGGACCTACCGCACTGCCTACCGGCAAATAACAAAGTAGGCCAAGTCTAGATTTGGAAACTGAGCCTTAACCTCGATTTATAGCCTAGAGTCTAGGCCTAGATTCTACGCACTACACTTTTTATCGGCGACCATTCAACGCGATGATTTCTAAAGCCGTGGTGGACTTATTTATTTTGTCATCAAACGCCAGAATAAACTATATTTCCTAATGAATTCAGACCTGTCATAACCAAATATTCAATGTCGTTAGACAAGTAGAGTTGGACATGCATGGATGTAATGAATGGGACGGAAATGCATGAACCAATGCAATTCGTCCATCTTATTTTTAGCTCAGAAGTTGGGGAACGCTAGACCCTATTATTACTAGATCTAGTATTGATATTTATGTCAAATACCGTTCGGTTAAAAATGAGAAGAATACTTTCCTTCCACCAAAATTTGTTTTCAACAGAATGAATATTTTAGAAGAAAATGGAATTAACTCACTTTTTGAGGACCTCTCTTGCAGTAGTTTAGCGACGCATTTTTGTGGTTGACCTAAGTAACATCGACTAGCCTTGATCACAGAGCCCTTTGTTTAACCTAAAATTTATGAAGATCGATTCTAGCTAAATTTGATTCGATGAAACAGCTCACGAGCATCAGTTTTAAGGCAAAAGTGATTCAGCCTTTAATAAAAAAAAATATATTTTCAAAGATATTCAGGTACGTAGCCACGGGGGGGGGGGTGGGGGGGGGGGCTTTGTTGAACTTTGTTAGACCCCTCCCCAGGACGTCGACCAATTACATGTAGATCTAGGTCTATGTACCCAACCCCCCCCCCCCCCCCCCCCCCCCCCCCCCCCAAAAAAAAAAAAAAAAAAAAAAAAAAAAAAAAAAAAAAAAAAAAACATCAAACTCTGGCTACGGGCCTGAAGATATTTAAAATCGGGGGGGGGGGGGGGGGGGAATCGTGAAAACTAGTAATTTCCCCAAGTTTGGCATTGTTTAAGCTTCGAAAATTCACTAATTAGATCTATAAGTCGAATTATGGTCTAGAATGCTACGATATAATCGTAATAATTATAATAATAATAATAATTCATGATAATGATAATTAATTTTATAAGGATAGAAAATCTATGGTTTGTATTTTAAGTCAACATGGACCCGGGACATGGACTTACATTAATTTAGCTTCCGACGGTGCATAATCTTAATAATACATTCAACTGCATATTTTCTAGACCTAGCTCTCTAGATCTAGATCTATTACAATTTTGGATTTTCAATACAAGCATTCAAATTATATTCATTGCTAGTGACTAGACGTCTACTTAAAAATTATAAAAAATAAGAATTGAGAGCGATAATCAAACAAAACCCATCTTAACTTTCAGTCAAAGACTTGGAAATTACACCCACGTTTTAACCTTTGCATCTCTTCACGCATTCGTATCATTATGCTTTACTACTGCAGAGTAACTGAATAGAATAATCTAGTAGGATTTTAATATATTTAATACTAGATTTGAACAAGAACCTACCCCACGAATGACATCGTCTTCACATGTCTGCAGCACTCGATGAGGTAAACCAAGTCTTTCTCGTCTGTGCACTTAACCCAAAACAGTTTTATCTGCAGCAGGTTCTTGGTTTGTTCTCTGATCAGTAGACCCAGTCCTCTCATCGTCTCTCTCGATACACTCTGCTTCTCTGATGGGAGTGATGGCGGTGCTGTAAGCTTGATGTCTGTGAGCTGCTGTCCTCCGGTCCGACGAAGACCAGCCGTGATCTGAGGTATGTCTCTCTCTGCATCATCGATAGTGATATCGATATCTCTCAAGCCAGGAAGCGATGAGAGCAGACCTCCATAGCTTTGTGACGTCATACTCTCAGCTAATAGCTCTGTGACCGATAGAAGCTTAGGAGTTGATAGAGGGAAACTGAAAGAGGAGTCTGAGATGGTGAGATGGTTGAGTGAGGTGAAAGATCTGAGACAGGACCACATTCTGGCAGTCATCTCAGTAGATAGTCGACATTCCTTTACCTGGAGGACATATATTGAAATACAGAGACACTATATACTCCCACGTAATTGCTATTATGCGAAACCGGGTACATAATGAGCACCCCCCCCCCCCCCTTCTTGGAGTAAAGCTTAACGGTGGACATTAAATAAATAATGATGATTTCAGTATACATGACTGGTAGGGCGCGCAGCGATCTCGGGAATATAATAACGCGGGAAAATATAACTCGATCACTTGTGATTTTATATATTTTTTGTCTAGTGTATTCTTTTATTCAATTAGTATATAATAAAGCCTTGATTACACTTTTGTAACAGAAATTAATGTTAATTATCATTTCATGCATTGTTGGTATTTTTCTCGAGCCGTCCAGCCTTAGTGTCAAATGGGCGCTGCTGTGGCATTGCAAACAATGGGTACGCGTATAGGGTTGTTAGGATAGGGTATGACGCAAACAATACACTAATTTGACCATAATGTTCAATATAACCATCGACAACTGACTGGAAGAGAAATAATATGCCAATTACATTCCTCACCATCGATATCACGTGACTAGATGTGACCTGATCACACCTTTGTATCTGTAAGAGCTATTTTTGTGATTGTTTAACTTAAACAAAAATAATATTTGCGTTTTCCCGTCAGGCGCAAATATTAAATTTCTTTCCTAAATATTTGTACTCGTATATTATTAGTTTAAGATATTTGCTTACCTGGAAACCCGATTCTCGATCGTATTCGAAACATCTGCCATCAAGAGATCTATAGTAATTGACAAAGAGAGTTGAAAGCGAAGACAAGAAAAAAAAAACTATGGGAATTGTGTTGGGGGCAGTGGCGTATGGATGATTCTTTTCAAGGGGAGGGTTTTAAAATTTGAAGATCGCGCCGATTTTTGTTTGTTTAAACTTTAACACATGTAATGGGGGTTTAACCCCCCCCCCCCCTGCATATGCGCCTGTTTGGGGGATTCATGAAATATCGCACACGGCCTGTGAGTACCGTTTGATACAAACATGCAGAAGGTCCTAGTGAGTTGAATATACATGTATATAATATATATTCATAAGTATAATAAAGAGATCATTAAGACTTTAAACAAATATAGCATGACAAACAATGGCAGGCGTTGTGAATAGTACCATGGCAAATGCGAGTTGAAAGAAAATAACTGCCTACAAATGTGTAAATGTTTACATGGTCAGTATGGGATGCAAATAAATAGGGATATGAGAATAAAATAATCATGATACTCCAAGACCCCCACAATACACAAATTCTGCGAGCTGGGGTGGATAAGAGAATTCCAATGGAAAATTATCGCAGTGAATATTTGATAGTATTTGCATGCCCCCTCCTTTCAGGTGGTAGGTCTATGTTTCATCTTACCAATTTCAAATATATTTGTAATTTCCAGCAGTTTGTGTAGTGTGTTTATTTTTACGGAACTTGAATTGATAGTTCGTAATACGTGCAAAGATGTTAACACACAATTTGATGAAACAAAAGCACACAAAAACTAAACTATTATTCGCCTTAAATAGTTTACGGTTAGACTTCCTGTTTGATTTTGTCTACTTTAATTTCATTGATAAATGTATGAACATCTACTCGAACTCACTGTAAATGCAGACTATCCAATGCTTTCAAAGTTGACGACTCGACAAGTTCAACCAAGTCTTCTTCGTCCAAGCACTTCACTCCGAACAGACAAAGCCGCTGCAGGTCCTTGGTTTGTTCTCTGATCAGAAGACCCAGTTCTCTAACTGTCTCTCTCGATACACTCTGCTTCTCTGATGGGAGTGATGGCGGTGCTGTAAGGTCGATGTGTGTGAGCTGCTGTCCTCCGGTCCGACGAAGACAAGCCGTGATCTGAGGTATGTCTTTCTCTGCATCATCGATAGTGATATCGATATGTATCAAGCCAGGGAGCGATGAGAGCAGACCTTCGTAGCTTTGTGACGTCACTCTCTCGGCTGATAGCTTTTCGACGGATGGAATCTCATGGGTAGATGGGTGGAAACTGAGAGAGGAGTCTGAGATGGTCAGAGCACGTAGCATCGAAAATGATTCCAGGCAACACCATAGTCCACTCGTCACGTCGGTAGTCAAAGTAGATCCCTCGAACTTTATAGTCATAACCTAGTGTAAAAATAGAAAGATAGAGAGATTAAAACAAAAGAGAGTTTAGTGACATATTATACGAAGTATAAATGACATTAATTAGTTGATCTCCTTTTTTTTTGCCGTAATCATTAAAATCAAGACTGTATAGCTTGATCTTTTCTCAGAATATTATCCGGTAAGTAATGGGAGCTCCCTCCCCTACTCCTTTACATTAATAAGTAAAACATTTATTATCTTGCTTGAGGCCGTCGTTGGGCAAACATAGAATGATAATGACTATGTATCGCGGTATTGATCGTTGTATCATGCAGTATGATTTATCGCGATGCGGTTAATTATGAATAAGAATACATTTACACAAAATATATTAGCGATTTGACTCATAGTAGCAGCAGAGAAATGAAAATGTAAACAATCTTTATGAAATCATTATTGTAAACATATTTTGTGAGATGAAAATGCGCATACCTGACGTTTAAGTTGCTTTGGAAGATTTTGCATCCCAACGACGGTGTAGACAGTCGGTGACTTCAGAACAATACTCTCTGCATTCACACATCTTTGAACCAATGAAGACACGTTTCCTTGAGTACCCTTAGTCTCTGATGAGCAGTCAAGGAGAATGCGATATCGCTCGCTCTCATCCAAAAAGCTGTTTTTAAGGAGCGCCTTCATTATTCGTATACAGAGAATGTTGTCAGTGCCAGCAGCGAATCGGATAAGATTCTCGTAGTCACATATGTTTGCTTTTATCTTGCGCAGTACTCTGTCCAATTTGGAAATCTTTAAATGTAACAGAAAGCGGTTTGTTTGATCAGCGAGGAATTTCCCGGCGGAGTGTTCTTGGGCGAGTTTGTGATAAAACTCAATGGTAGTGGAAGTGGTCTCGTTGGACTGAGGAAGTCGCGTGATGTTACCAGTTGTCTTGGATACTATCCCAAGCTCACATGCCACATCAAGGGTTGCGGGAACTTTACGGAAATCATGAGGCGTGAAGACTAGTTGTTTGGCATCGTCGAGAAGGCCAGTAAGGGCAACTTCGCCTAATTGATGAATTACTTCCTTTAACTTTTCTTGTGTGATTTTAACACTTGACTTCGATCGCTCGTTTGCATAGTGCATTAGAAAAACATTCACCTTGTCCAGCAATCCTGTTTGAGTTGTAGTACCACTGTCCAGTAGGCCCTCACTCCATACGTGACATATCATGAGACAAAATAGAGGTGTCTTGACAAGTTCATCAATAAGTGGTTGTTCATCAAGGTAAACCTCCAGATCACGCCCTCTATCAGGAATCGAAGTCGAAGCAAAGAACTTGTTGATGTACTCGCATGAGCTCTCTCGCGAGAATCCTTCGATCCACATCTTTGTGTATACCCTCGGAAGATCATCTTGATCGAAGAAGTTCTCTAGGTGAGGGCGTGTTGTTACAAGGACTCGACACTCTGGAAATTCCTCCAAACAGATGACCTTCATAATATTGCTCTCTGAGCTTCGCTGTGAAGAAGAAATACCCGCATATTCATCTAGTCCGTCTAGTATTATGTGGCAGATGCCCTGGTTCTTTCTGATGAAACTCTCCAGACCCTCTGGCGTGAGATCATGAACATCACTCAAAAGCTGTGATTTGATGGCTTCTCCGATCGATGTAAGCTGACTTGTGTTTCGGAATTTCACAACAAACAACAGTGGCAGGTGTTCTAATGCTGACCCCTTTTCTCTATGAACCCAGTCATAAGCCATCTTCGCAACAGCCGTGGTCTTCCCTCGTCCAGCCGGGGCCGAAATGAGGATTCGAGCTGGCAGTTTGCCATTTACTTTCGTTGAAAATATTTCAGCAACAGAATTCTGGAGTATTTCCTTCTTTTTTGTGTCATTTCCACGACCGTCCTTCTTCACCATTGTGACAACCGTGTGCATATCTTCGAACTCAGCATAGTCATTGCGATCCCATGGCTTCATTTGAATTTTGCACAGTTGATCTAGATACTTGTTCTCCAACTTTTTGCGACATTGCTGAACAGTCAAGGATTCCGAGATCTTCTCACTGTAGATATCTGAAACGATACAAGCATATAATACAAAATGTCTTATTGTACTCCTTCAATATCAGCCCCTTCCCTTTCCGACTTAGTATGGTCCCGTTAGTAATTATTTCTTGTTCGAATACATCAAGATTCATTGTTCCGATGTTTTTCCTCTTCCCCACGAAGAAACGGGCTGGAAACACGCTTAAAGGAAAACTCCAACATTAATGGCAAATTGCTCTGACATGAAGCTGAACAAAAATAGAGAACCAGTCTAGCGAAAGTTTAAACGAAATCGGAATCGGAAATACAATAATAATGTTTTTAGTTGTTAAAAAGTTACAATCGCTATACGTAAATGACGCACGGGAACTTCAAATTAGCCAAATCCGCAATGGTACCGGATGCATATTGGCGCACATCTCTCCCATTTGTTTTAACACACATAATGACTAAAATTAAATTTGTCGAAATGTGTTACTCTCGAGTATCTACCATTTTAAAACGAGATATAATGTATATGCTATCCGTAATATATTTTGGGTATTACACCAAGGGAAAAGGTGCTTATGAGAGGTACTTGTGAGAAAAACATAATTTAACAAACGGGAGTGTTGTCCGTTACTACGTCACAATCCACTGACCAAATTGCATATAGTGATGATATGATTCAAAGATTCACATTTTTCGTTATTGATTCGATTACAACTTATGATATTCAGTTTCTCTAATTATATTCCGCTTTTACACAAATTAACTCGTTAAAAAATGTGAATTGCCCTTAGTCGGGAAATATCTCTTCAAATCGATGTGAAAATTAAAAAAAGTTTAAGATCCTTTTAAACTTTATTTTTCTAACATAATCATATATTTAAAAGATTTTTTTATATATTTGTTTACAACATTCAATTTACAAATATGTTATTTTTTATTGAAGCCGGGTGCTTTCTTCCCAACTGTTAACATCTTGGGATTCATTCTATTTATTAGTTATACTTATTATGGATAGAAAGATAAACCGATGAGCAAACAGTGAATGAAGGAACTTGAAATGAACCGACCCTGTCCTTTAACAACCTCATACATTGCGTATTAAAAATTTGTGCGCAACTTTGGTAGCTTCTAACTAAAAATTCTAAACATATTTGACCTTGAATCATATAACACGGTTAATAGTAATGAATACCATATTCGTAATTGTGCTTCAACGGATGATTAAGCAGCAGGCTTTTCAAAAAGTATTGTCAAAATCCTCATTTACCAAACTTGGGTTAAGGCATGAATGTAGGTCAAAAGCAATTATGTGTTTGTTACCTTATTTAAAAAAACAGTTTCTTACTAACTTACATTGGCTAATAAACAGTTGATTTGAAAAAGTATTAATATCTGATCGAACCCAATAAAATACGGATTACAAACTAAATTTATGATACTTTCTTCGTTATGATTATAATATAATCATGACTTCTTTCGCACCCCCTGTTTTAGGTAACCCGTGTCATTGAGTGATACAACATGGATTAAGTTTATTTAGGACGTTATTTAATGAAAGTTTACTGTACATTTCTGTAATACCTAGCATCATAATATGTGTTTTTATTGCTTTTGGGTTTAGTAACCCTTTTTTTACTCTTCGAGAAAAGCACTATATGCACTTTACTTGTGTGAAATGGCGCAGTTGAGAAGTTGGCAGAGATAATTTAGCTATCATGAGACATGAATTAAGTAGAACGAAAAAGCGCATGCAATATGGTTGACCTACATTTAATCTATCATGCCAAACTTGGTATCATTTTAACAACACTTTTTAAAGACCCTGGTGCTCAGTCACCCGTCGACTAAATAATATGAATAGCTAGGGTATCATTCGACAGAAACAAGTTACTTTACATCATGAACTATGTTTCATGGAAATGTTCAAAGTTCATGTTCTCAAAACAATGAACAGGACTACAGGTACATGCAGGGGCGTACGCAGGATTTTTTCAAGGGGGGGGGGGTTTAAAATCGGGCCCAAAATATTTTGCTCCCGAAAATTTTTAAATCGCGCCGGCCGAAAAGTCGCTCAGTGGGGGTGGGGGGGGGGGGGGGGGGGGGGGGGTAAGCGGACACTTTTTTTTTTTTTTGGAGTCCAAAAAAAATCGCAACGACTTAGCCAGCCGAAATATATATATATATTTTTTTTCTTTTCTTTTTTAAATAATAAAAAAAAAAAAAAAAAAAAAAAAAAATCCAAAGGGGAGGGTTTTAGGTTTGTTTAGGGGGGGGGGGGGTTTACACACATAAAAATACCAAAGGGGGGGGGGGTTTGAACCCCCAACCCCCCCCCCCCCCCCCCCCCCCCCCCCCCCCCCCCCCCTGCGTACGCCTCTGGGTAAATGCATGAGCGGTGATTCTAGGCACTCTAGCACTGATAGACCCACCTTGAATAATTGGTGTCCTCTTGAGATATGTATCAGCAAGCATGACCAGCTCAGCGTCAATGAGAGCTTGTTTCAGTCTGATATGCTGGTCGCAGGGCTCCACGGTCTGTCTCCAGTCAAACAGCATGTCACGTGTTCCCTTACAAGTCACCCGTCCTTCTATCCTATTGGTCTCTGTGTATCTATTGATGTCTGCGACCTTGAATCCGAGCGTTCGACCTAAGGCCTCCATCTGCTCACCCGTCTCGATGTCTTCAGCCAGCTTGGAGAGAAGATCATCGGCAATACCTTCATGAGCCGCCATACCTGTGGAGAAAATAATCAAGATTAAAGTTTAAGAAACGTATTATGAACATTAGAGTGGGACAATAATTCAATGTTGTATGTCAACAGGTCTGCATTCATCATGGATATGTAGCAATTATCTTCAGTGTGGATGCGAGATTGCGGGCTTTGAAATGTTAAGAGTATCGCTACTGTTGTAGAGAAGTAGGGTCTTGACGATCAAGGTATAGGTAATTAGAAACCTTAATAACCCAAAACTATGATAATAAAATAAAGACAACCATGGAAAACAAGACATTACTGTCCATGCAATGGCCTGTAAATATAGTTGCTGCATTTTAAGCATTGCCGGTTTCATTTTTCGTTATGCATATCCAGAGGCAGTGCTCCCAGGGGGGGGGGGGGGGTGTCATACTGATCCACTTTCCAAGTACCTGAAAAGTGCCCGTTCTTACGAAGGACCCCTTTTATTTGTGATAAGTGTCGCGTTTACTTTGACAAGTGACTCATTTCCTTTGTAATAATTGTATCTTCCAACACGGGGGGAGGGGGAGGGGGAGCTTCGACGGTGGGTGGGGGGGGGGCGGGGGGCGGGAGCTTGGACGGTGAAGGTGTACGTCGGCGCCACACACGATAAAGTGGAGAGGGAAGAATGAAGAGAGTGAATAACCGAGTGTTTGCATCAATGAAAGGGAGAGATAGAAAGAGAGAAAGAGCGAAGAAGAATGAGTTTATTGAATTACTAGGTATGAATAAAAGAAAGAGATCAATTGAGAGAGAGAGAGTTTGAATGAGCGAGTGAGAGAGCGAAGGGACGAAAGGGAATTTAAAAAGTAAAGAGAGTCACTAAGAGGGAAATTTGAAATTTTAAGTGCTAGAGAGAGGGAGAGAGAGAGAGAGAGAGAGAGAGAGAATGAATGAATGGATGGCTAAAGGAGATATATATATAGATTAATCGTAATTGTGTACCAGTGATTCTGTGTGCCAAAAGTAAAATAAATTGAAATATGTCAGTTCTCGAATAATTATGGAAAGGAGTGTCGATATGAGATTGTATCACTATAGTGTGGTACGGTATGTCACTGAAACAGCTCCCGTAGGCCTTTGGATTCATTGGGGTCCAAGCTATCAGAAATTGATTTTCCCGAAGACACCAAATTTCCCTATTGCGCTTTATATAAGCAATTTTGGCGCCCAATATGGACCCCCAGGGAAATGAAGGAAGGGTCTGAAAATTTGAACCCATCATTTTTGGCCAATTGGGACCCTTTTGAAGCCAAAACAGCAAAAGAAAATCAACTTTGTCAAAAAAAAAATCACATGGTATTACATACCATACCGCACTACTACCTCACTACACTAAACACGGTTGATCATGCGTGAACCATTTGATGAGCCTTTTTTCAGGGGAGATGATTAAAGTATTCCTAATTTCTCTTTCCCGGAGGCATTTTGTGTGCATCCGCCTCATTTGTTATGTTTTTTGGATCTTGATATTTTTAGTTTAAAGATAAATAATGTTATAGGTAATATCATCGCACCTTCAATCGCGATATCATGAGTTGTCAGCTCAGGCGCGTACGCAGAATATTTTCAAGGGGGATGGGGGGGGGGGGGTGGTTTAACTATTTCAAATCGGGCCGAAAATTTCGCAAAGCCTCAGCCAGCCGTTGAATAAGCCGGGGGAGAGAGGACATTTTTTTTTTTAAATTTTTTTTAACACAAACAAAAAACGAAGGGGGGGGGGGGTGTTTCCTCTAAAACACATACATAACCAAAATGAAGGGGGGGGGGGTTAACCCCAAACCCTCATGGGAACATATTGAGAAATTGCTCAACTACCACTCCATTACCAAAGAAAGAGGCCGTGTGCATTTCTCCGATTCTATTGAGAGAGAGAGAGATAAAGATAGAGAGAGAGAGAGAGAGAGATAGGGGAGGGAGTTAGGGTGGTCCGGGGTTCAAATTCAGTTTCCTTTTTATATTTTTTATTCAACCTGGTACTGATGAAAAAAATATCTGCCATGTGGCGATACAAACAGGTACCACAATCTCGTTTATTGTCATACAAATATTCAAAAAGAATTGAAGAGACGATGAAGAAATAAGAATAATAATAATACATCGTCGGTATCATGAGAATATACTTTTTAGCTCTCGGCTATTAAAATCCCCCGAACAATGGAATCAACAGACCAGAATCTAGTGTGACACGAATTATTATGAGTTCAAGCTGAACGAATGAATTGCCACGTCATGGTTGTATTAAAGAGCAGCAATGGCCAACGATTGTTGCTCAAATTCATCAACAATACGAATATTGCTTTTCCCTTAAAAGTATCATGAATATATCGGGCCGTACTCCTTTCAGTTAAAGTTTGATGGGGCAAATAAATTCAGAAAATAAAACAAAGCAAAAATAATGAAATTTACTATTAGAATACTTAATAACGTCTCAAAATATACAAACTGATAATATGAAATCGAATTTTAATACATACAAAATTATACAGAAGGTAGCTATAAATAGTGTATACCTTATCCTATTTTAAAGGGGTAATTTTTTTTCTTGTTATTCTTTTTTTTCAAATGTCAGACTTACTAACTGGAATAAGCTAGATAATATTGTAAATTACTGGCGTAGCATCAAGGAGAGGGATGGCAAGAGGGTATTTATATTTCTTTGACCGAGAGAGAGAGAGAGAGAGAGAGAGAGGGAGAGGGAGAGGGGTGGCTTAATGGCTTGGGGTCCGAATTCAGTTTCCTTTCAAATTATTCAACCTGGTAATGATGATGACTTTATCTGCTATAAGATTGTCATGTCATTGTCCATGAAATAATAACACCATGTCGTTTATTGTCAAAAGAAAATCAAATAGCATTCAATATGCACAATAATAACTGCGAAAATGTTCCGCCCCCCCCCCCTCTCTCTCTCTCTCTCTCTCTATATATATATATATATACTTAATCCTTTGAACAGTGGAATCAACAGGGTAGAATCAATTTTATTTATTGTGTGTCCAAAATGAAATAATAAATCGCCACGTCTTGGGGGGGGGGGGGCGTTTCATCAACATTTGTCCGCCGACAACTGTCAGCGCTGACTAAATAAATTTCGACAAATCAGAGGCATGGAAAATAATAGGTGACACAAACATTGTCGGTTAAAATGATATTAGTGGGTGAAAACCACCGACTACTTGTTTCATGAAACGCTCCCTGGTCGTACTATAGGATAAGAGCGAGAGAGGGCGGGGTATAGCCTAGGGTTCCAACTCAGCTTTCTTTCATACTATAAAGCCTGGTACTGATGAATTTATCTGGCATGTGACGGCCATGTGACGGTTCCTTATAAATAGTACCACAATTTCTATTGTCATTAACATTTTCAAAATGTATTTTAGAGACGATGAACAAATAAGAAAAATAACACATCGTCGTTCACTCCGAACGGTGGAATCAACCAAGCGGAATCAACTGTGAAATTAATTATTATGAGTCAGACCTGAAATAATACATTGCCACGTCATGGTTGTATTTAACGGTGAACGCTTTGCTGCTAGAATTATACAAGAAATGTTGATAAGATTGCTTTCCCCAAAAAAGTACCATGAGACATAAAGCTAGATAAAAACTGAACCATAACAACCGATATTGTCTGGTAAATATACAAAAAACATTGAAAACAGGAGGAGGAGGGGGGGGGGGGGAGGCCTTTTCAGTTAGTTTCAGCCCATGTACTATTACTGCAATTATATGTGACAATTGCCATATACGGAAACATGTGCAGTGTTTTCCACTCAAAATGCGCCTCCTGTAAAAAACAAATTCGTTTTGGATATCATGAAATGACTTATCAATCACATTTTTTGATAATTTCTTTTCTTTGCGTCGTTTGATATTATATATCATACATCTTGTCAAGAAAATATGTTTTACAATGGGCATATTTATGGTGTGGTAAAAAAAAAAAGTTACATAATTTTAATGACATCCATATAAGAGTAAACCATACTTTTCAGTTTAATTGCGCCATACACATGTGTGGTATATCCAACTTTAAAATGTATATTAGACAGTTTTATCACCTCAAACTCATGAACAAAATCATGTCAACTGAACATTCAGAGATGGTACATATGTGAAGAAAAAAACATACAAATCAGGATGTCTTACTTTCTATCAAATTGTGAGCACAAAAATACAAATGTTTGTCCGAAAAATGTGCTTAACATCAACCGACATCATAGGCATTATAAGGAGGACAAGTATCGAAGTCATAACCACGAGCCGGAATGTGTACCCCCTCCACAACACACACACACACACACGCACGCGCACTGCCATGAATGCAAGTTCCTTAGATAATTTTCGCTGCATTATTATTTTTTTTTTGGGGGGGGGGGGGGGGGGGCGGGGGAGGTGTGTCGGAGGGGGGTGTACGCCGGCATCAACATGCACGATAAGCTGGCCGGGGACGAATGAAGAGAGGGATTAACTGAGGGTGTGCGTCAATGGAATGAGTTTATTGGAGCATTTGATGTGAATACAAGAAATAGATCAATAACAAAGAGAGAGAAACAACAAATATGAGTGGGTAAGAGCGAGGGAGAGAAGGAATGTTAAGAGGGACATTAAAATATCAAGTGAGAGAGAGAGAGAGAGAGAGAGAAAGGGGTCGGGAGACAGGCGGAGAGAAAGAGAATGACTGGATGGATGGCTGAAGGAGGGAGAAAGAGATTGTCATTGTGTACCAGTTAATCTGTATCCCGAAGGCGAAAATTAATCGTAATATGTCATGTCTCGAATAGTTATGAAAACGAGTGTTCATACACTGTCGCTCATAAAGGTGGAATTCTTTTTTTTTTACACTAGTTAAGGAATTATTTTTAAAATGATTTAAAAATAATAGATCTAGATAATAGTATACGTTCTTGGATTTTATTGAATAATAATTTGCCAATGTGTAGGGGGCACTTTCCATAAATTAAAAAAAAAACAGAAAATGCAATAAATTTGCAATAATTTATTGCATTTATCCCGGTTCCCAACATAACAAAATCTTCTGTGTGCCCAAGCCTTGAGCCATAATGCACGGCCGTCCAGAAGATTTTGTTATGTTGGGGACCGGGGTAAAATGCAATAAATTATTGAAAAATTATTGCATTTTCTTTAAAAAATAAATATTTGTGGAAAGTGCCCC